GTTAGGATCACCAACAGAATCGCTTGAGCTTTTCATGTTTATCTGCAATGACGCTGCCGATTCATATCCGTCCACTCTAACTTCTAAAGGCAGCACTTCCGATATGGTCTTATCAATTTCTTCTTCTGAGTCACCTTCTTGTGGCTAAAACAGGCGAATAAAATGCATTTGTGTCTTTTATCAGCTTATACAAACACATAGGTTGGATAGTGCCTGGATTACCTGAATTCCATCTTTAGCACCAAAGCTTGTCTGTGTCGGTGTGGGAGCACCATGCTTATCCTCACTGTCCCAGAAAGTTGGAATTTTAGGCGAAGGGGAAGTGAATCCCTCGGTTCTTTCCTCCTCTTCTTCATCCATCTTCTTAGCTGCCCTGTTGCTGCTGCTTCTCGTCTTCTTGGGTGCCGCTGTTTTCCACTCACCGTCGCCCTGTAGGGGAGATATTCAGTACAATTTTGGAGCAAATAATGGCTTTATTGAAATTTACTGCTTAATTCTAGTTTTTTCAACTACAGTTAATGCATATGCTAACATAAGCTATATGTACTTCAGAGTTGAGTGCAGACAGGTAAATTTCTAGGATGAAAGAAATATTTACAGTTAACGAAAAAGGGGAGCAAATAAATAAACTGCAGAAAGACAGAAAACGGACCTGCAGGCAAAAATAAAAATTCGTAGGTAGATACAAAAAGGGTGGTTGGATGGGTACGGAATGGAGGGATGGCTACGGGATGGATGGGTAAATGAATGGCCACGGAATGAAAGGACGGTTGGACGAATTGATAGAGACAGAATAGAAGAATGGGTGGATGGATACGGGGTAGGTGGATGAACTGACTGAATAAGTGACATACCCTAGTTTTTTTGAATAGATAGATGGTGTGGTAGAGATGGACATCAGAATACATGGAAGTAACTTTATGTAAATAACTATTTGGACATCTAAACGGTTTTCTGTAGTTTAAATGAATAAATCCGGAGGAAATTCATTACTAGTGTAATCTCGCTTTCACTTACGACGTGTTTTTCCTCTTCATACACCTGCGATGGCTTCTGCAGTTTTTCATTAAAGCATTGATGCTTCTCAAGTGTCTAATAAATGTTAGAGAGAGATTAAGGGAGCTGAGATACCTACCGATTCGTCTGCAGAAACCTCCGCAATGACGGACAAATGTGGACTCTCTGGACGCGCCACGAGCGGACCCCAGTTTACTCCACCTCTTTTAGTCTGCAATCCAAAAGGAAAGTAAAACAATCGCTCAAATCAAAGTTTTTCCTCTCCACAGTGACACCGAATTCACACATGCGCTTCTTTTTCTCACCTCCAGTTTATCGTCTTTCCATCAAAATTTAGCTGAAATTCCTACGTCAGAACAATAACTTCCAGGAACATTAAATGAGGTGTTAAAAACCCTGTTTACATTAATTTTTTTTCTCATACGCAATGTTACAAGTCACTGAAGACTTTGCCTTGACAAATTCATGACAACTTATTTTATTCTCAAAAACAAATGTAGAAAATTTAACCAAGAGAGCCTCATAAACCTGCAGAAAGAACTTCATAATTTTCTAGTAACTGTAACAAAAGGCGCTTCAATGAGACATGTCGACATGAATGGAAAGGTAGATGGATGCTAGAACTCTCCACCGAAGACGTTTTCATAATCTAGGCGAAATCGAGTGGAAACCTTCGGCAGGAAGCAGGAAGTGAGGGAAGAAGAAGGAACTACCTGATTAAGCAGATGACCTTCAGTATCTCCCACAAAGATGGAATCCCTCGTCTTATGGGCGGGAAGTTCATGACTCCTTCTTAACCACTCATCATCCACGAAACCGGACTCCTCAAAGGAATCGCAAACACTGCTTTTTGTCCTGGGAAGTAACTATGAAATAATAACAAAAGTATGCAAGTTTCAACCCAAAAAAGGAGGGAAGAAGTGTAGAAGTCTTCTAAAGAGTTGGATGAAATAACTGTGTGTTAGAAAATTATCTGAAAAGACTAAAAACTTCTTAGAGATAAGTTGAGTTAGGACGCATTTTGATGAAAAAACCGAATCAAAACGTGCTAGAAAACAAGCAAAACTGAAGGAGACACTGATTCTTACCACATCTAGACGATCTGAAGCAACGGATGGATTATCT